ACTAATGCCAATCCTTCTAAATTTTTTCCATGACATAGAATGTGAGGAAACACTCCCAAATTCATTCTACGAAGCCTGTATGCCCTGATTACAAGACCAGATAAAGATACATCAAGGAAAGAAAACTACAGACCAATATCTCTGATGAACACAGATGCAAAAATTCTTAAGAAAATATTAGCAATTAGCATTCAAAAAGATATTAAGAAGATTGTACTCACTGATCAGGTGTTGGATTCATCCCAAATTTGCAAGGTTGGTTCAACATATGCAATTAAACAAATATAATTCATTACATAAAGAGAATCAAGAGAAAAAATGAAATGATCATCTCAATAAATGCAAGAAAAAGTCTTTGACAAAATCCAGCACCCATTCATGCTAAAAACAGTGAAGAAACTAGGTTTAGAAGGAACTTAATATCATAAAGGCTATATGACAAAACCAACAACATACTAACTGAAGAAAACCTAAAAGAATTTCCTCTAATATCAAGAATAAGAAAAGGATATTCATTCTCACACACTCCTATACAATATAGTTAATGAAATGCTAGTCAAAGTTAACAGGCAAGAGAAGGAAATTGAAGGGATAAAAATAGGAAAAAGAAGAAATCGAATTACCTCTGTTTGCTGATAACAGGATCCTATATATAGAAGATCTAAAAAACTACCAGAAGACTTCTAGAATTCACAAACAAATTCAGCAAAGTAGTAGGATATAAGATCAACATACATAAATCAGTAGCTTTCCATATACTCAAATAATTAATCTGCTGAGAGAGAAATCAGGAAAATAATTCCATTCACAATAAACTAAAAAATGAATTAAAAAACATGGGGATAAATCTACAGAGGTGAAAAACCTATAAAATGAAAATTATACAACACTGAAGAAAGAAATTTAAGAAGACCTTAGAAGATAAAAAGAATGCCCATGTTCTTGGTAGGCCAAATTAATGTTGTCAAAGAGTCACATTACTGAAAATCATCTACAGATTCAATGTTATCCCTGTCAAAAAAACAATGACATTTTTCAAAAAACTAGAAAGAAAAACAGCTCTAAACTTCACAGAGAAGAATAAAAGACCCAGAATAGCCAAAGCAATCCTGAGCAATGACAGCAAAGCTGGAGGCATGGGAGCACCTTATCTCAAATTATACTGTAGAGCTACAGTAATGAAAAAACAGTATGGTAGTGGTATAAAAACAGATATGAAGACCAATGGAATAGAAGATACAGAGACAAATGCACACATATACAGGCATCTGATCCTTGACAAAGTTTCCAAAAATATACACTGGATGAAAGATAGCCTTTCTAAACAAACAGTAATGGGAAAACTAGATATCCAGATGTAGATAAATGAACCTGGATCCCTGTCTTTCACCCTACACAAAAATCAACTCAAAGTGGATCAAAGACCTAGGAAGTAGACCAGAATACTACACCTGCTAGAAGAAACACAGGATTAGCACTCTACCATATTGACACAGGCACCAACTTCCTTAAAAGACTCCAAAAGCTCAAGAAATAAAACCAAAAATCAATAAGTGGATAGCATTAAATTAAAAAGCTTGTATACAGTAAAGGAAATAAGAGTGTAAGGAGGATCCTAATTACACTAAGTTATAGTCCATGAATTTATATGCCAAAATATACTCTACTGTCATGTATATCTAAAAAGAACAAATTTTTAAAAAGAAAAGAAAAAAAGTGAGGAGGGAGCCTATATAATGGGAGAAAATCTTGTTGCCAGCTACTCTTCTGACAGGAGATTAACATCCAGAATACAAAAGAACTCAAAAAGCATAACACACACATAAAAAAATAATAACCCAATCAACAAATGGGCAAATGATATAAAAAGAAATTTCTCAAAAGAAGAAATGCAAATAACAAACAAACATTAAAAGAAAAACATAGCAAATCAAAATTGCTATGGTTTGGATATGAGGTGTCCCCCAAAAGAGTTCATGTTAGTGAAATGATTAGATTCTACAAGCTGTCACCTATTTATAGGTAGGTGGGGCATGGCTGGAAAAAGTAGATCACTGCAGGTGTACTGGGAACTGTATTTTGTTCCTGGCTCCTTGCTCTCTGTTTGCCGTTTGCTACGGGCTGAGCAGCTCTCCTACACCAGGACTTTCTGCCATGATGTTCTGCTTCACTTCAGAGCCACAACAATAGAATTAGCCAGCCATGGACTGAAACTTGCAAACTATATACCCCAAATAAACTTTTCCTCCAGGTTGTTCTTCTCAGGTATTTTGGTTACAATGACAAAAAGCTGAATAACATAAAACTACACTAAAACACTGAGAATACAAATAATAATTGCTGGTGAGAATGTGTGGAAAAATGTACACTTATACATTGTTGGTAGGACTGAAAAGTAGTAGACTGCTTTGAAAAATAATATGGAGATAACTCAAACATAGTATCACCATGTATTCAAACTATCTCACTCCTTGGTATTAATCCAAAAAGTCTAAAATCAGCATACTAGAGTGATTCATGCATACCAATGTTTACAGGACTGCAATTTACAACAGCTAAGTTATGGAACAACCTAGGTCCCTGTCAATAGACAAATGGATAAAGAAAATGTGGTATATATACACAATGGAGTTTTAGTCATTCATAAAGATGAATGAAATTATATCATCTGCAGGTAAATGGAGAGAATTAGAGAACATCATGGTAAGTAAAATAAGCCAAAGGTCAAATGTTTTCTTTCATATGAGGAAGCTAGACAGGGAAAAAAAAAGGGAATTAAATGTGTATGTATGTGGGGTTGAATCTCATGAAAATATACAAGGGAGACTGTTTGGTTTGGATATGAGGTTTTCTCCTCTAAGCTCAAGTGTTAAGCAATGCAGGAATGTTCAGAGATGAAATGATTATATTATGAGAACTATAGCATGATCAGTGGATGAATACATTTGATGGATTCATCTTGAATGTATTACTAGAGGTAACCTGTAGGCAGGAAGGGCATGGCTGGAGTAAGTAGATGGCTGGAGGAAGTAGGTCACTGGGAGCATGTCCTTATGGATTATATTTTGTCCCTGGCTCCCTCCTTGTTCATATTCATTCTCATTCATTCATTCATTCATTCTCTCTCTCTCTCTCTCTTCCTTTCTCCCCCCCCACCTTTTCCTGGCTGCCACGGGCTAAGCAGTTTTTCTTCCACCATGCTCTTCTGCCTTATCTCAGGCCCACACTGATGGAATTGGCTGACTAGCAACTGAATTTCTGAAACTGTGAGCCAAAATATATTTATCCTCCTCTAAGTTGTTCTTGTCAGGCATTTTGATCATGACAACAAAAAGCTGCCTAACACAGAGATCAATAGAATTGAGGAAGGGGACTGAGAGGGAGAGCAAGGGGAAGAACTGGGAAATGAGATCTACAAAATTATGCTATGTCCATGTGTGAATATACCACTTATATATATAAACTATAATACAACAATTAAACGAATGGTTAACAACAACAATAACCACAGAAGGGAGATAAGTAGAGCAAACAGATCAGGGTGAGAAAAGGGGAGAGGGATAGGGAAAGTACTTGGGAATGAGATTGATCAAGTTATGTTAAGTGCATGTATGAATAAGGCAAAATGAATCTCACTACTGTTTATAATTAAAATGTACCAATTAAAAGGATAAAACAAATATTACGACATTGGATACAATGGAAAGACAGAAGATGACATATAAGAGTTCTTTTTAAAAAAATTACTTATTTTTATTCTTTTTAGTTATACATGACAGTAGGATGTATTTTGACATGTATACATGGAATATAACTTATTCTAATTAGGATCCTATTCTTGTGATTGTACACCATGTGGAATTACCCGGGTTGTGTATTCAAATACAAGGATAGAAAAGTTCTGCCTGATTAATTCTCCTGTCTTTCAACATACAGTTCTAAAGAACTTGGGAGAGAGGACATGTATCACAGACTAATTAGTAACCTAGATTTTGAGTTAGACCTGGTTTCAAATCCTGGCTCTGCTCTTACCAGTTGTGCAAGTTTGGACATGTCACTAATGCCCTCTAACTTTGTTATCTACCTACAAAATAGGGATGATAATAATACCTATCATACGGAATTGTTGTGATAACTAAATGAAAATACACATGAATTTTTAGCTTCATTCCTAAATGATAATTGTTAGCTGAAGAGTTCTATAATTAAGCAAAACCAAATACTCAGTCATTGAGCAAAATTATTAAAAAAATACTTTATTAAAAATAAAAATTAAAAAAGTGTTCATTCACTTTTGATTTTATTTAAGGCTACTAATCTGAAAAAGTAAGGAAAATGGAAAAAATGCTTGAACCAAAATAAAAGCAAAGGAAATTAAAATTTCCAAGTAATTGTTTTATAGATACATAAAGAAACTATTTGTTTTGACAGAAAGCAAACATCTATCATATTCCAATAATGGTTAAAAAATTAGGGCACCTATTTTTATTAGGAAATAAAGTCCTCGTTGGATTCCACTTTATCCAGATATATAAAATATGTAAATTTTGACAAGCATAATAATGATCATTTAATGAATTAATACAAAGGTTACTAGCTAACTTAATAATAATTAAAAAAAAAGAGTCCTGAGATATTCGGGAACTGTTGATTAAACTGTAACCATAAAAAGTTTTAAAAATGCCATGTATGAATTAATTTGTTATACTAATGAGCACAGAACCACCAGTTTCTAAATTTTTCTCAGGCTATTTCTTAAATAATTTGTATATAGCTGTTTTGATCTTAGAAGCCTGTGCTATAGAGCTTGTGGATAAGATTCTAAGGGCCAACTCTATCTTTAGAGGGGTTAACACTTTCTATTCTTAATATATATCAGATTTCAATAAAGCCATGTAAAGTTGATATGGAGCATTTGCTGGAGTTGGGGAACAGAGAAACAACAGAAAACAGCAGAAACACAAAACATATTGAAAACACACATTAAAAAGAGAACTCACCACTGAATTATTTCCGTGATTTGGGCTTCCCAATGTGCAACTGATTCTTTCTTGTCTGCTATATCTTTCACCTCTTCTTCTAACTGTTGGTTGCGCATACTTAAATTCTCATACAAAGTAGTAAGCTGAAAGGCAGTTTTTAAAGTATGCATAACTTTTAGGACCAAGACTTCAAGGTGCTCAGACACCTATTATTACATCTGATAATTCACAATCTTCCACTCAAAAATTCTTGTCTTTTGATTATTACACATCTTCTGGTCACTGAATTTGCTAATAACAAGTACTCTGAATTCTCATGCTTCCTCTGCTTGTCCTTATACCCTACACTAAATCAGTTCTGGTTCTGTGAACATTCACATTTGTCAAAAGAATGTTAACATCATATCTCTTTGTTTCTTTGTGTCTCTCATTTGCAAATGTCTTTGTCATCTTTTTTTTTTTTAATCAAGTCATAAAGAATTTCAAGCACATTCAAAATGGGACAATACAAGTGAATGCCCATGAGCCCACCATCAATCTTGTTTCATTTATGCCCCTATGCTATTCCCCTTTTTCTTGTATTATTCTAAAAGAAATAACAGAAATTGTATATTCACCCATACATAGATCTGAAAATAACATATATACACACACATATATATATATATATAATAAGATATATGTATATATATATACACACACACATACAAGATATATGTAAGATAAATTGTATATTCACTCATATCTGAAAATAAGGCTATATCTTTTAAAATATAATTATAATATTATCATACTTAAATTTAACAAGTATCATAATACCATCACATTGGTATCAACTATTCAAATTTCCAGTTATTCAACATTTGTTAAACTTAATCATGAAACCAATTAAGTAAATGCAATTTAATGGTTTGATATGTCTTTTTAAGTCTGTCTTACAGATTTCTATATAATACTTTTTAATTGTAACTTATTCATTAAAAAAGTAGGTTGTTAAAAAGAAAAAAAAAAGAAAGAAAGTAGGTTGTTCTGTGGAGTTTTTTACATGCTGAATTTGTGTCTTCACTTTTGCTGCATACAACATTCTATAAATTCCTTTTTCCTTTTTCTTCTAGGTTCCTTCTCACATCCCCTTTCTGTTGAGAAGTCAGCTTTCAGCTTTTTACTCCTTTGAATACAATGAATCTTTCTTCTCTGATTGCTTTTAGGATTTTATGTAGATTGGTCGCTACTTTTCAGCAGTTCTGTGATTTGTCTACATGGTGTTTGGATTCATATCACCTTTAGGGTTTGTGACATTTCTTGAATTTGTGGTTAAATGTTTCTTAAAAGCTTTGAGAAATTATAGGCTATTAACTCTGCAAACACTGCTTTTGCCATTGTCTTTTTTCTCGCCTTCAGGGAAACCAAATATTTATTTATTAGTTCTTTTTATCATGTCCTCTACATCTGGTATTCTGTTTTCTGTACTTTCTATTTTTTTTTAACCCTGTCTGTATAATAGTATGAATTGTTTTTAAATGTACCCAGTCCTTTAGCTCTTTCCAATCTGATTTGAAAATTTCCTATTACATATTTTGATTTTTCAATTTTAGAGACCGTTTGATTTTTTCATATGGACTGCAGAAGTTAAATTCTTCACAATGTTTTCTACTTTCTTGATTCATTATTTTAAATTCCATTTGTGAAAATTCCATGCTGGGAACTCCTTTGGGCTGTTTGCACTGGTGCCTATTTTTTTTTATTCCTCCCTTCCCATTAACACTTTTGTTTTTGCTGTTACATTTTTTTTGCCTCTCCTGGATTTTAGTGTTTTGCTTATTTGCTATTATCCCTGGTAAGTTTTTTATTTATGTTTTACATTTATTTTTACTGGATTTATTTATTTTTCTTTAGTTGCTATACCATTTAATACGAGCAGTATATTAGTTCCTCCATATCCTTGTATGCCACCATTCTTGATTACAGTAATCATTCTTGAGCATGTACATACAGCATTCTCACTGTCATTTTCATTTACATTTTCCTAATGACTTTGAACATCTTTTCATGTGCTTGTTATTCATACGTCATCTTTCACAAAATGTCAATTCCATTTTTTTCTCTACATACTTAAAAAGATTGTTGGTAGGAATTGAGTTTTAAAATTTTTATATGTTGGGCTGGTGTTGAGGCTCAGTGGTAGAGCACTTGGGTTTGATTCTCAGCATCACATATAAATAAATAAAACAGAGGTCCATTGACAACTTAAAATTTAAAAAAAAATTTTATATGTTATGAATAGAAGTATTTTTTTAATCAGATATACGATGTAGAAATATTTCCTTCCTACCTGTGCATGTCTTTTCATTTTCTTAATTGTTTTCGAATTTTGAAATTCAATGTATCATAGTTTTTCTTTCATACACTGTGCTTTAAATGCAATTCTCTAACCCCCAAATCACAAAGATTTTCTCTTACATACTTCTTAAATTTCAGCTGATGATGTATTTTGAGTTAATTTTAATCTAAGTTCATTTTTTCCCTCAAACATGGATGTATAGATGTTCCAACAACATGTGAAAAGACTATCCTTTTTTCATTGAATTATAACTGAACTGATTCTCCTGAGAAATCAATTCAGCATAAATATGAGGGTTTACATTCAGACTCATTTTTTTTTGTTTCATTATTCCAATTCTATAGGTTTCTTTTATTCCTATATATTTATATTAAGTATTAAGATTACATAGAATGAATCCTCCAAGTATAGGATATTTTCACCAAATATTTTGGCTTTTCTAGATCTTCTGTACTGCTGTATAAATTTACGTGTAAGCTCACCAATTCTAACAAAAAGCATACCAGAATTTTGACAGGGATGTTCTTGAATTCACTATAGTTCTATCTGGAGAGAATCTTAACAATGAGTCCACCAAGTCATTAACATAGTATATGGACATGTTTGGATAGTTCTCAATGCATCTCAGAAATATTTTCTAACTCTGGTCAATTCCAAGAGCTCTGAAATTGTTTCTTTGCTTTGTTTGTTTGTTTTGGTGGGGAGGATTCATCAATCTCTTCACGCTAGCACAACCACAAGTCTACCAGTCATTTTTGAGAGTTGCAAATGCAGCATCTTCTCCTCACTGGTCCCTGCAACACATTCTTTTTTGATCACCACTGTTTCTGGCAGTCTTTCCAATTAATTTGTGGTTAGGGTGTCAGCAGGAAATTTGTAAGAGTAGAAAATGCAGACTTCCCATGCTATAGTACAACAGTTACAGAGAGTTGTTTAAAACAAGTCAGAAAAAAGTTAACCTTTGCATTATTACTGAGTAAGCATGAACTCTGGAATATATTCAAGTCCCAATCTGTGGTTAGGAAAACAACACAACTCTTCTTTGACTTGGTATTTTCATCTATAAAGTGGCAAGAATAATAGAGCTTATTTTAGACAATTGTGGAAATGAGTTATATAAAATAAACTCAGAAGAAGACCTACATGTAATAAATTCTACCTAAGTATTAGTTCATTTTGCATGTTTGAAAGGTTTTACTATTTCTGTGTTGAAATATCTGACTTATAATATTTACAACACTAGTAGTGCTCTTGAGATTTTAAGTAAAAAGGCATATTAAAAGAATGTATACATAACTGTAATCATGAAATAATATGAGTGTGGAAAATCTGGAAAGGAATATTATAAATTACAACAGTTGTTTTGCGCTGATGAAATTATATGTGACTTTCATGTTAAAAATTTTCTACATTTTTTGCAATGTTGCTTTTGTGTAAAATCACAATTGGAAAACAAGATATAAATTACATATTTTGTACTATAAAAACTATTTAATTTGGGCTGGGGTTGTGGCTCAGAGGAAGAGGGCTTGCCTAGCATGCGTGAGCACTAATGTCCTCAGCAGCACATAAAAATAAAACAAAGGTATTGTGTCCACTCACAACTAAAAAGTAAAATGTTTTAAAAAAACTTTTATTTTACTCTGGCATACGTATAAATTTTATTTGCAAAAACTTTTCTTTTAATAAAAAACAGAGCTTATACCCTTCTGAAAATATTATTTGTTTCTATTTGTTTTTTTTGTTATTTTTGAGGCTTAAAATGAGAAAATCTACTGTGTGTAACTTTCAACAGTAATAAATGTACAATTCTGTTAAGAAGGAATCTAGTTTTCTTAAACCTGGTTCCCAATGAGATAGCTGGTAAAGCAATGGCAAATACATTAGTTGGTTATCATTCTTGGGAAAAATAATGAATTTAAAACAAACTGGCAAAATAAAGACATGGAAAGAGATGGTGAAGTTGTGCAATGGAGTGAACTAAGAGTTAAGGAGAAAAGCAAAAATTAAGGGATCAGAAACAGCAGAGATTCACATGGAAGCAGAGATTCCAGATCTTTTTGTCAGGCTCCTGAAATCATTTGTTATTGAATACTCGCCTACTATATGAATTTGCTCTCAAAGTAGGATTCATATCCCATATCATACCTTAAAATTCATCAAGAAAAGGTAATGTTCTGTTTTTCATAAACCATCCCTCAGGCTTCTCTACAGATGCTAGGCCTAAATAAGTCCCCTCCTTATGGACATATTAGATTACCAAACAGTTTTAATTAAAAGAGTATTTAAAAATATATTTTTGGTAAACTCAGCAGAGCTTCATATTTAGTAACAAAATTAAACCAAGGACTGAATACAAAATTTGATCTATACTCAATTTGATTATTCTCCAGAGAATTTCGTAATAACATTTTTTTTTAACTAGGTAATTTGCTTAGAAGCACTACATGAAGTGGCTTTCTAGAGTTTGATTGTATATAATCTGTATCTCAAGGTATTGCTTAAGAAAGTCTTAAAATTCTGTCGTGCAGAAATGACATTAAATTTTGTAGTTATATTTGTCAAATACATGAAATAACAATTAGGTAATCTATTTGGATAAAGTTCAAATATTGTTAGTCTTATTTTGATGAAAATAACTATGATGTATATAAAATAAAGTTCGGACATAATTCATGCTTTAAAAATCCATTTATGCTACTTATTCTTCAGCTACTTTTCATAGTTATTTTGTATCTCAGGTTTATAGGATTTTACAAGATGAACTAACAATATTCTTTCTCAAGGAATTTCCAATCAAACAAGCAAAATCCAATTTCTAAAGACCTTAAATGTTTCCTTAGCATTTTAAAATGTTAAATAATCATGAGGAAAGTAGTGATAGAAATAGAGTTATAAAAACATAAAAATTCAGAGAAATGCAATTCTCTCTTTAGTCATGGTCTTTCAAGCTGTTATTAGAATAACTCATAACAGAACTTTTTTTTTTAAATGGACACAATACCTTTGTTGTATTTATTTATTTTTATGTAGTGCTGAGGATCAAACCTAGTCTCACATGTGCTAGGCAAATGCTCTACTGAGCTACAACTCCAGCCCCATATAAAAATCCAGAAATCATTATAAAATCCAATTTACCATCCCTTCTTATTTCATGTAAGTTAATATTAAAACTTGTAATTAATATTAGGATTTTTTACAACTGTTCATTAGGAATTGGGACATGAGCTGCAGAACGGCAGCGATATAAAAATCTGAAATAATAAATGAAAAAAAATTCCTTTAAGTATATGAAATTTTGTTTATAAATATGGCTAATTCTAAAGTCTAATAAATCTGCTTATCTTTATTCGAGACAAAGATTAGGCAGATTCAGTCTTTGGATTTTCACTAACTCCTGGTATTATTTCTAGCTATTATCAGTTTTCCATTATAAATATGAAATCATAGCTATTAGAATTCTTGAGATTTGGCCTAACTATCCCTGCTTTCACAAAGGGCCAATCTTCATTTAGCCTGAACATGACAAGCCATGACAGGAGAGTGATGAAAATAAGAGAGCTAAAAAGAGAATAGATAGAAAGTAAAATAAAGAATAGCATCAAAAATAAAGGGGACAAAGAATAAGATGAAATAAACAAAAGCAAAATGTTCTTTCAGAATATTCCTGTCACAAATGGGTACAAGAGAAAATTACCTGAACTGTATAAGCATTCAGCTTGTAAAGAAGACTATTAAACTAAATATATACACCAAACCAAATTATACCCACAATTTCTGTCACAGTGTTTAACATCTAACATATGCTCGAATGAGACTGACTCACTCACCTTATCAAGTTCACTTGTCAACTTTTTATTTTCTTCAGTTAGTAACACTTTTTCTCGTTCATACTGTTGTTTAAACTCATTTTCAAATTCTTCTCTTTCACTTTGACTAACACAATTGAAAATATTAAAGAAAAGAAGAAATAGAGTCAAAGGTCAGCAGAAAACAAATTAGTTTTGCAAAAATTACATAACACACATAAATTCAGACTGAACTATAGGAACATTATTTACATACAACACAACATGTTCACATGCAATGAAAGGCCTAATAAAATACTTTCCAAGAATTTATTTATTTATTCCAATAGTTGCTGATTGGTTTATTGAATCATGTAACCAATATTTATAGAATGTCTAGAAGGTGCCAAGAAATAGTGAGCCCTACAGATAGGTTCTACTCTCACAGCAATGAAAAGTGAGTAAATGAACTAATTTCAGATAAGTTCTATAAAGAAAATAAAATATGAAAATGCCATACACACTATCTGGGGTGGGATGGCTAATATATATTATATATTTAGGGAAGATCCTATCAAGACTAATGAAATGTCAAAATGGAAGTAATACTTATCTTCTGCTTCGTATTCATTAAAATAAATTCAAAGACAAATTAGTCTGAGTTCAAATTAGATACTTTTTTTGTGTGTATTTGTATCAAAATATCCTTAGAAAATACGAAGTCATGGGCCCTTCCTTAAGATTGGTCTAGTCACTTCCTAGTTTTACTAAAAATTGTATTTTACAGTCCTTGATAATATTTTGAAATAAACTTATATATGAACTCAGATATTTTTAAAAATTGACTTTGAAATAATTTCAGCCTTGTAGAAAAGGTATAAGTGCAAAGAATTCTTGCATCCTCTTCACCCAGGTTCTCCAACTGTTAACATTTTACTTTATTTGTTCCATTACTCTGTGTGTTTAATGATTTCATTATTGTTGTGAACCACTGAGAGGCAGCTGCAAATATTACTTTTTTACCTCTAAATATTGCTCTAAATATCTCAAGATCAAGGGCACTCTCTAACATAAAGACTAAGCAACCCTCTGAATTAAAAGATTCACCCTTACCAGAACACTACTGTCCAAAACCACAGACCATAGTCAATGTCTCTTTTTCTTATCTAGTACAGGAATCTACAGTCCAAATGCATTATGTAGTATTGTTTAGAACTCTAAAGTTAAACAAAGTAACTTCATGTAACAAGTATCACAGCCTCTGGGGATGGAGTTTCCCATGCTTTTTCTTTTGCTACCAAAACAATATAACTTCTTTTTCTCAAAACCAAGTCCTCCTTATTGGATAAGACTGAGCTTTCAGTAACAAATTTGGCACCCCGAATGGGACCTGAAAGCAGCCCCCACTACAGGTTTCTTAGGCAGGCCTGACTATCCAAGCAGCCCACTTCCTTGGTAGGATGCAAGGTGCTGGTGAACTTGTTGAGAGACAACTGCCAGAGACAAGTAAATTTCCCTCAGTTAAACCAGAGGAAGGAACTGAGGGGCTGTCCCAGCAGCTGCTGAAGTTCCTTTTGCTTGGGGGAACTCTGCCTTCTCTCCCTGAACAGTATAGGTTGCTCCATCTTGGTCCACTTTGAGAAAAAGGAAACCGAGTGCAATAAAGCTGCAACACCCTTGGCCATCTGGTAAATCCCCTGGTGTGCACACCAAGACCCTTGACTCCACACATCTGGTTGCTCTTCATGGGAACATCTAGTCCCTCTTTGTGGGGATAACTGTGGTGCTGCTGGTGTAGGAGTCATGGTCAAATGGGACTCAAGAATCCAGGGATTTTTACTCCTTTCTGGTCGGTTCCAGGTTCTCATCTGTTTGTTGGCTTTGGGTTTGGGAATTCCTTTTGGTTGTCTGTGGTTTTGTTTGTATCTGTTACTGCCCTTTTTTTTTTTTTTTTGGTACCGGGGATGGAACTCAGGGGCACTCAACCACTGAGCCACATCCCCAGCCCTATTTCGTATTTTATTTAGAGACAGAGTCTCACTGAGTTGCTTAGCACCTTGCTTTTGCTGAGGCTGCCTTTGAACTTGTGATCCTCCTGTCTCAGCCTCCTAAGTCATTGGGATTACAGGACTGTGCCACTGTACCCAGCTTGTTACTGCCCATTTTAAGACATGGGCAATGCTGAGCTGATCCTATAGGTAATCTCTTGGGAAAGATCTTGGCTGGTATATTTAAAAGGTTCCCATTTGTTTGCCATGGTTTTGGGGATCCTTTCTGGTTGTCCGCTTTTGTGTTTCTTTTTTTGTTCAATCTTGTAGATGAATTTGGTCTGTCACAGGTAAAGGAAGTGGAAGAAATTCTGTATGTGCAGGTCTGTCCATTTTAAAGGTCCCTATCTGCCAAGGTTTTGGAAATCCTCTCTGGTTGCCTCCTGTGTTTCTTTTTTTGTATCTGTTTCTGGCCCTTTAAGACATGAGCCATGCTACCTAGATCTCATCAGTGGTCTCTTGGGAAGAAAGATCTTGGCTGAATGGGCCACCTATAGGTCTGTCCAAGAGAAAGATGTTCTACAATAACATAATCTGTTCTCTGGCCTTTGAATGGTTTTTCTGGATTATTATACAATCTTTCAGGCAGAGTTGGTCTGTCAGAAGTAGTATATAGAAGAGATTCTGTATGTATGAGCATTGATGAGTTGCATGATAAGGAGTCTTAACATTTAGAAATTAGGTTGACGATGCAAAAAGGCACTGCCTCTGGTGTGCAAGGATAGTAGGAAACCAGAAGAAAGGGTTAAGAAAAGATTTAAATCCTTTCAACCCAGTGATGGTAGTCCCCCTACAGTTTCTCAGCTTGGCTCCATGCAGCTGCAGATCATCTCCCTGTGGGTCAGACACACTGGCCCTGGGCTAAGAAGAAAATTTTTAAAATCCTAGGAAAGTTGTCCAGGCTATAGAAAAATGGGCAAAGAGAATCTGGCCTCTGCCTTGCCTTGTAGCCCCTTTTTCCCACAGTGGTGGAGACTGCTGGCTACAGAGGACATGGTGGTAGGTTCCAGCACTGTTAGCTTTATTACTTGGGTGCAGAAAATCTCCCCTTTTATCTGATGGAACACCCCAGTTGATCAGGGGATATCCATCACTGGGACAGAGCAGTTCTTGCTGTAACAGTAACCTATCAAACTAAATGCATGGGGGCACTGGCAGCCATAAATAACTGCACCCCAAAAAGAAAAACACAGAAACTAAAGTCAATCTGTTTTGTTGGTAGCTTCTGCAAAGGGATCTTCAAGGAAGACTGAAAAAAAGGATAGAAAGGGACTACTCCATTTAATATCAATATGCCTAGTGTAAGAAAAAAGGTACAAAAGGAGACTGCGTATGACTGACAGTGGGGAACTCACTTAAAGTTGATGGCATTTTAATGATTATAAGAGAGACAGGTCAGGCTCAAAAGTATCCTGCATTCCAATCTCTTAAATGCCTGAGTACAGGGGGTAAAAAAAGATTAAGGCACAGTTTTGTTTTTTTTTTAAATGGAAACTATTATTTTTTTAAATACCTTTGTGGTTTTTTATTTTTGTTTATTTTTATGTGGTACTGAGGATCAAACCCAGGGCCTCACATGCACTAGGTGAGCACTCTACTGCTGAGCCACAACCCCAGCCCAAGGAACAGTTTTTATATATGCCAGATTGTCTAATCCCTTTCCTGGGATGAAATCTGTTGAGTAAATTAAATACACAGATAACATTCATATAGATTTTTTTCAGAATATGAATTTAAGAAAGGGTCTGAAATTAGAAAAGAGATATAAGAAAGTTATAAGTGTGGAAATATATTTTAGTATGAAAAATGAGAAGGTTAAAAAAAATTTCTGGATGAGAAAGCATTTTGTATGCTAAAATAATCTTCTTATGCTAAAGTCCAAGATGAAAGAGAGGACAAAACTAAGGATGTAAACAAGTTGTAGAATGTCTAAATAAGTTGCAGAAAGTTTGTGGAATGTAAATCTCAAAAAATTTTGTGTATGTAATTAAGTTGGCTATAATTAGCACAAAGTTATTTAAATTTTAACATACTGATATGAAGCAAAGTCTGAATCACTGATCTGCTCTTATCTATCAAGATAATTCTCTTGTATCTATTAGGATTTATTACTTAGGGAAACTAAGTCTTAAAGGAATTAGGGTTTGTACCTGTTTTAAAGTCTTTTAAATGATTCATAACTGGTTAAATAAAAAACTGTTATTTTAGGTTATAACAATATAGTTGATCCCCTAAATATGTGACTGGATATATGTATACATCTGAGAACCTTGTATGAGCCTTGTCTAAGTGTTATGTAAAAGTGTGTAAAAATGAAAGTTTATGTAGGTTTACCAGCAATTTAACCAAAAAGCGCTCTTTTTTTCTACGTTGTATCTGACATAGAAGGGCCACACTGCCATTTGAAGAACTGTCATATATCATCTTTTGCTTTGACTAAGTCTGTTTCTGATCATTAACACTTGTTTCCTAAATGTATAAGAGATTTAATGCTTTTCTTTGATTTTTGCTAACCCGTGTAAAACTGTTGTTATTGTTACTATACACTATGGACTCTAAATTTTACTTTAAACTGTAATCCCAGCGGCTCAAGAGGCTGAGGCAGGAAGACAGCGAGTTCAGGAGCTAAGGCTGTAGCTCAGTGGTAGAGTGTTTGCCTAGCACGTGTGAGGCACTGGATTTGATCCTTAGTGCCACATATAAATAAATAAATAAAATGGATGTATTGTATTTATCTAAAACTTAAAAAATAAATAAATAAATAAAGATTGCAAGTTCAAAGCCAGCTTTAGCAATTGAATGAGGCCTAAGCAAATTAGCAAGACCCTGTCTCAAAATAAAATATAAAAGAGGGCTGCGAATGTGGATCAGCAATTAAGCACCCCGGGTTCAACCTCTGGTACCAAAAAAATTTTTTTTACTTCAAAAGTTGAACTCAGTTAATATAAGGACATCTGTGTAACTGTAATGCTAAGCATTATGCTTCTTTAAATATTAGATGAATTTATGTTCTTCAAGTAAACAAGCCTTATTTTTAAAGCATATTTTGAATTTTATTTAAAGGTAAAGTAATGGAAATAAACAGGCTACATTTCCTTGAAATCGATCTTCAATGAGCCTATTTTGCCACTTTACAATAATGCAAACGCTACAGTCCTTGTTTAAGTTATAATAGATCTTCCTGTTTTTGACAAAATATAATAAGTAAAGAATCAAAGAAGGATGACACACATGAAAAGAAATAAACAAGCCTTTTGAAATGTAAATCTTGTGACAGCACTTCACCAAGTTGGTGTTCTCCAAACTAAAATTGTCTGTACCAATAGTCTCTTTCAGATTTATGCAGAAACAACAAATTTGGTTGGTATTTATTTATGTCAATTTTTACCATATTCTTTCTCATTACCTAATTGCTCCCCACCATACCAATACCTGGCTTCTGCCTCCATTACTTAAATAAAACCAAAACTGCTCTCTCAAAACTCACTATTGACTTAACTATTATCACATCCAATCTATTGTTGACAATGTTGTTCTTTCTTTCCCTCATGAACTGCTATCTTCTCTTGCCTTTGATGTTACCATACTTTCTGGACTTGTAGCCAACAACCTGGGCTTCTTTTTAGCTGTCTTTGTGAACTCCTTTCCTTCTGTTCTTCCCATAAATACCAGCACTTCTTGGAATTCTGTCTCAGGTGCTTGTCTCCTCTCTCTTTAAGTTCTCCCTGAGGTAGCTCATCAACCACAACATTTGCTTACAGTTATTTCTTATACTGAGGTCCTCTGAATCTACCTCTGAAGCTTTTACGGGCTTCAAACTATTGACTTAAAATCTCCACAAATGTATGTTCAAAACACCTCACATTCAACATGCCTAACTCAACAAGGGAGGTCAACACATAAACATGTTCCTACCTATCTTCATTTATGCATAAATATCAATTTTTTCTTACCATAGGTTAAAAAAAAAGTAAGACTGAGTAAGGCCAATCTCTCCAATATTACACTTCTCTGGTAATTTTCTCCCCTCTCTCCACTGAATGAACTATTAGAAAACTTCCACTATATTAAAAATATGCTATTTATTGCTCTTACCTTAAAAAAAAAAAAAAAACAAGGATCAAGGTAACTTTGACAGAAAATTCTCCTCCAGCTCCTCTCTTATTTCACCTCTTACTTTGGCAGTAACAACTCCAAGTACTAACAATTGTTATCTACACTCTGTTCCAATTGCTCTCTTTCAAGTCTCTCTTGATCCCACTGTGGGGTGTTTGTCCCTACTTTTCCACTGACATTATTCTTATCAAAGTCACCAGTGACCTTCATATTACTAAACTCAAATGCCACTGTGTAGTCCTTATTTTACCTGATTTGTACATCATTTTATTTGACATGTTGACAAGTTTCTTCAGCAGGCTTCCAGGATACTAAATTTGCTTGGTTTACTTCATATCATTCTGACTATTCTTTCTCCTTCCATTTTGCTTGTTCATCCTCATCTCCCAACTTCTAAAGATTGGAGTGCCTCAGTGTTCAGTTCTAGAGTCTCCTTTCTATCTAAATGATCTCATTCTGTCTCCATGGCTTAAATATCATGTGAATGATATTCTCAGAATTATATCTCTACCCCTGAAATCCAGGGTGCTCTATATATAAGCCTACTTCATATATCTACCTGAAGGTCAAGCATCTGCAAGCCAGCTGATTAAACAAAGCTCTCGATAATACACTCATCTGAAACTTGCTTCTCTTGTAGTCTTCCTGAGTGGTAACTATAGTCTTCCATTTGCTCTTGTCAAAACCGCAGGATCATCCTTGATTCTTTCTTTAGCTTTCATTCCATATCTAATCCATCAACCAATACCATTACCCTTTACCTTTAAAGAATATTAAAATTTGAACATTTCTAACTATCCCTTTTGCCACCAGCCTAGGCCTGAGTCATCATCTTTTGCCTGGATTATGACAACAGCCTTCTAGATAGTCTTATAGTTTGCTCTTATCTAATTCAGACTATTCTTAACCCAGGAGTCATAGTAATCCTGATGAGAAACAAGTTTCCTGAAGTAAACTACAATAAATCACCAATATATGACTTATAAGGCTTAAAAAAACCGACTCCTGTTATCTGACTCATTTCTATTCTTCTTTGCCCTTGCCTATACTTAAGCCATACCAGCTTCCTACAATTTTTTTAATAGACTTATTCTTTGTGTATAATGATCTTCTCATACACCTTTTAAGCATTTACCTAAATTTCCTTAGTCTTAATTCAGACATCACCTCTCAGTATATTTTCCCCTGGCATGTAAATATATACAAAACATATATATTATGTTTCTGTCTATCCATTCTATATATATTAAAATATATGTGCATGCATATGTATACACATATGTAATTTAATTTGTCCTCTTAATTCTTAATAGTCATTTCCTACTTTATTTTTTGTTTTTAGCATTTATCATTACTTAATGTGTTCTACATTTTATTTCTTTGTCTTTTACCATACTAAAGGAAAACTCCATAAAGATCAGGATTTTCTTTGTCTGCTCATTGCTATATCCTAGTATATACACCAATGCTTTGCACATAGTAGGTTCTTAAAATAATTTTGTTGAGTCAATGAATGCACCAAACTGAATAAACTTGGGCTTCCAGTATAAGTTAAGAATGACAATTATATGTATCTAGTTGCCTGAAATCTAAAGTGTTGTTTTTTTTGCTTATTTTGACCACATTGAGGATTAAACTCAGGAGCATTCTACCACTGATATATATTACCCAGTACTTTTTATTTTTTATTTTGAGACAGGGTCTCACTAGGTTGCCCAGGCTGATCCTTGAACTTATGATATTCCTGCCTTAGCCTCTCAAGTCACTAGGATTGCAGGCATGTACCACTGTGCCTGAAATCCAGATATTTGAGCATTACGGAAAATTTCTCCTGTTCCCTCACTTCTCATAGCTGATCATTATGTCCTACATGTTCTGTCTTCTCAGCAGAACTTCTGAATCCATTCAATTCTCTCCAACTTCTCTATCACTACCTAACATCCATAATCTCATTTCTCATAGCTGAACTCCTATACCTGTCTGCACTTTTCAAATCATTCTTTACCCAGTAGTAAGTGATCATTCAAATACAGAAATTAAAAATCATGCTTTTCCTTCAATGGCCTTAAATGGCAAATGCATTACATTTATTCATGATCTTGGCTTTATTTTCCTTGCAGACTCATTTTTTACCACTCCCTTCTATTTATGCTTCTATCATAATAAATAGCTTTCAGTTTCTGAACGTATTAGGCTCCACATTTTCTCTGGATCTTAGCACATTCTGCAACCTCTGCTTGAACACTCTTCCCTTCCTACATCTTTTTACTTATTAGCTCTCAGCTAAGAATTAGTTTTGTCCAGAAATCCTAAATGTACCAAAGTTACTTCTTGTGCCTGTGTGTGCTCCTAAACTTATTCCATTTGCTTTCCTACTATACTGTACTGTAATTTTCTATTTACTAATCTTAACTTTGGTGTCCTTGAGAACTGGGACATGCTTATTGCCTGTGTATCTCCAGCATTTTTCACAAAACAAATACCCAATACATTTTTATTGAATGAATAAATAATGTGACTCATACCTTTCTCTCCTGGTTTTTTCCAGTTTGTCTTTTAAAACCATAATTTCTTTGTTGAGAGCAAGTTGCTGGCCTTCTGAATCATGCAGTTCTTTCTTCAGATTTTTAATCTCATTTGCATGTATTCCTTCTCTTTTAGATAATTCTTCTTCATAAAAGATACTTTTCTTTTCTAAATCAGTCTTCAGTTTGTTTATCTCTTGCTGATGTTCTATGCTGCAAACTCCAGGTGAATAACTAATTTGCTTTTGCTATAGAAGTAATAACACAAGATTAATTCATCTATAATAAAATAATAACTCCTTTCTATAAGGTACTATGCACATAAATGTATATCATTTTTGCATATTCTCAAACAAAAATAATATTCTTTCTGTATTTAAAGCTATTATTTGTCAGTCATATATTGCAAATATTTTCCTTGGTTTACATTCCTTTGTGGTCTGTGTGGTTTTTTTTTTTTTTTAGTCTTTATACCAAGATTATGTATTTGTAATTCTTCTGCTGGTACTTATAAGATTTCTTATTTTACATTAAAATTCCTATGTAGAATTATTTTTGGTGTATGAGTGAGGAAAAGTCTAAGTCTTTTATCTGATAAGAAACTGTTAGAAAGTTTTAATCATATTTGTGTCTCTAAAAAGATTAAAACGGGGGAGAGGACGATAAAGCTAGAATGTACAAAAGAAAAGAAAGGGAACTTCTGCAATGATCCGGGGAAAATGACAAAGGCCCAAACAAACACCTCCTTCATATTTATGCTAGAAAAAAATGGTAGACCTCTTGGTTTCAGGTAGGACATTAAGAAGGAGGAGAACTTTGGTTGGAATCCATATTTTTAGAAATTAGGCTGAAATATAAAAGTCCAAAGGTTCTTTTTGCTACTGCCCAAAGGGTAGGCAAAAACAGACCAGATTATGACCATAAGATTTCCTGAGCTTTTAATTCCAAAGCTCATACTTTGTTCTATCCTATTTCTCAAAAAACTTTTAAAACTAAAAGAACCTATGTGTGTAGGTTTATAGACAACAAGTAAATAAAGAGCTAGGGGCACTGTTCCTTTTTTGAAGGCACTGATAAGAGCTGTAAAACTGTTAATGGTGATTGATTTAAAGCTGAACAAAAATGTCCTGTCTCCTTCCTCTGTGAGGTATAAAAGGTAAAAATAAAAAAGGAGCTGATGTAGACCAGAGGAAATGGTCCACTGCATATTTAACTATTTATTAAGAAAATACTTATCATGTGCTAGATACAGATTGTCCAGTTGTTTCTGAGACAGCCTGGCATGCAAAACTGCTTAAACTGAGAAGAAACAGAGCAAGTCAGATTCTTGCTTTCTTGCTTTTAAGCTTCTCTGTTTAAAAAAAAAAACAAAAAAAACAACTTATCTCTAAAAATAAACTTATAGCACTAACTACTGACCTATACGACTCTTTTATTTTTCTAATCACCTAAGGAACACTTTAACCTTGTTTTTCTATTCAGTTAACTGTTGAGATGACAACATGCACAAAAGGTTTCAAGGAAAAATTCCCCTGAAATAAAAATCTAACAAAGATACCACCAATGAAAATTATAGATGTCTATCACTTATTGCTAAAATTACAAAAGAGCCAAATAAAATGTAAAAAAACAAAATTAAATTGTAAGTAAAAAAAAAACAACAAGCTATAACAAAAGAATAGATTGCAGGTAATGAAATTAGTAAAGCAAACTTACTAATAAATGCATTATTTTGCAGATTAAATGATTTTCTAAGTGGTTACCCCAGCCCAAAACTAACTGGTAAAATATAATAATAATTCCAAATGCTACTCTTAAGTCCCACAATAAAAGCATTTTAAAAGTTCACTAAATCTTCTAATGTAAAAAAAAAGTAGCAGTTTTATAATTAATGGTGAAACATCAGAAATATATAAAGAAAAAGAATGTCACCCATTACTACTCTTTTATAACATTGATTTTAAATACTGTCTGACAAGCATGTGAAACAGTTAACAATATTATAAAATGACATCACTATAATTCCCATTTAGTCGTTTACCCAGAAAATTAGAAGGTATTAAAATTGAGAAAGGTCAGTAAAACAGAAGGATATATAAGATAACACAAATCAGTAACATTTCTAGGTACTAAAATAAGCAACAAAAATTTTCAAAAGCAAAAACAAAATTCACCACATACTAATATATACATATTCAAGAAGAATATTCAAGATAATATTGAGAAATTTCCTAATGTATGAAAAACTATAAGTCTTTATAAAGGATATGAAAGATTTAAAAAAAATTTAAGTCCCAAGTATTTGAAAGGAAAAAATCACAATATGTCCATTAAATATTTTTCAAATTATCTCCTATGTAAAAAGTTCTTTTTAAATGTGGGGAGGAGTACAGTAGAATAGGAAGAGATGGAAATAAATGTTTCTAGTCTATGGGCAAGAATAAGCTATTAAAAGTATCAAAGTCTTAGAAAAAAAGGAAAAGAAGTGTGAGCAGGGGGGTTTTCTTTTCAGATATTAAAATATACTGAAAGTCTTTAAAAAGTATCATTGTAATATATCTCCTGCTCCAAAATAGTTTAATTCAACATATACAACATCTTTAATCAATGATAAAGAAAATGAGCTGGGTGCGGTGGTGCAGGCCTATAGGCTGAGGCAAGAGGACTGCAAGTTCAAAGCTAGTCTCAGTAATTCAGTGAGGCCCTAAGTAACTTAGCAAGACCCTGTCTCAAAATAAAATGGGGTGGGTATGTGGCTCAGTCTTGGTGGCTAAGCACTCCTGAGTTTCAATCCCTGGGGAGGGAGGGAGGGATGAAGGGAAGAAAGGAAGGAAGAAAGGGAGGGAGGGAGGGAAGGAAGGGAAAGAAGGGAAGAAGGAGAAAGATATGAATAGAGTAATTAATAAATGGAACTAGAATCAATCACCAGCTAGCAATATAAGAAAGAAAAGGTCTCATTTAATAACATACAGCAAAACAAATTCCAGATTAAATATTTAAATATTTTTTAAATCCCACGGAAACATCCAAAAAAAAGCAGAATTAAATATGTATGAAAATTCTACAAAGAAAAGCACAAGCCAAGTTTTGAAGGAATAGAAGATACATCAAGAAAAGGATAAAACAATTCTACTGGGGCATGGTGGTGCATGCCCATAATCGCAGTAGCTGGGGAGGCTAAGGCAGGAGGATTATGAGTTCAAAGCCAGCTTCAGCAACTTAGTGAAACCCTGTCTCTAAATAAAATATAAAAAGGGCTGGGGATGTGGCTCAGTGGTCAAGTGCCCCTAGATTTAATTCCCAATACTTAAACAAACAAACAAATAAATGATTCTTATATAATTTTAAAAATAAACCAGAACAAAACTCAAGGGCAAATAATAAACTGGTAAAGTTTCTAAAAGTCTAAGAAAAAGTAAAATTTTTACTCAGTAAAGAATTTATTCAAACTGTAAGTAAAAACATTAGAACTACAAATTAATTGGGCAAATAACTTAAAAGATAAAATAATTAATAATCCATATAAACCAAGAAATGCAAGAAAGCAGTAACAACTTTTGGGCCTCTCAAATTTACAAAGCTCTGTAGTATCTATGAAATACCTTTAAATAATCTACTAATTTCATTTCTAAGTGTCTTTTCTAAGAAAATAATGAATAGTACATAAAAGTGTTCATGGCAGTTAGGTGATTACAAAAGTAAAACCAAGGTATGTTTGAGAACTGACTATGTGAATATTATTCTTGAATATTTATGATCATTAAAATTATGCTGACAATTTTTAAAAAATATTTATTTTTTAGTTGGTCACAATATCATTTTTATTTTATTGATTTATTTTTATGTGATGCTGAAGATCGAACCCAGGGCCTTGCACGTGCTAGGCAAGTGCTCTACCACTGAGCCACAACCCCAGCCCTGCTGCGACAATCTTTAGTAAATAAAATGCTTAGCAGACTGTTGAGTTTTGAAAAAATACAACTGATACTGTTTGAATTATGTCTCCCCAAAATTCCTATGTTGAAGATCTAATCATGAGTACTTCAAATGTGACCTTATTTAAAAGTACTGTCTTTCAGAGGTAATCAAGTTAAAACGAGGTCTTTAGGGTAGTTCCAACTCCAATATGAATACCTCCTTATAAAAAGGATACAAAGGCATGTACATAGGGAAAACATCATGTGAACATGAAGACAAAGATCAGTGTGATACATCTACGAGTCAAGAATGCCAAAGAGTGCCAGCACACCATCAGAAGCCAACTCTGCCAGCACACTGTGCTAACATTCTAGCCTTCAGAACTGAGACAATAAATGTTTTTTTTAAGCCACCCACTCTGTGGTACTGTGTAATAGGATGCCTAGCAAAAACTAATAAAATAAGTTTTAACAAAACAAAACAAACTCTAGCAACATACAATTATTCTTTTAAAAACATTTTTATTGAAATTCATGTATCTTAGCAATTCACCCACTTAAGGTTTAAAATGTGGTTATTTTTGGTTATTGATATACTACGCTATTATTTTTATTTTTTGAGATCAAATCTCGCTGTGTTGCCCAGGCTGATCTCAAACTTCCAGGCTCTAGTGATCCTCCTACATAAGACCCTGAGAACTGGGAATACAGGTACTTACTACCATGCCCAGATGATATACTACATTATTAACTTTTTAAGGAGTAAATAGATATTACATAAAACTTTCCATATTAATCATCTTCTTTGTACAATTCAGAGGCATTAATTACATTTACAATGTTGTGTGAACATTACCAATATATCATTTTAAAATTTTTTTCATCGTCCCCCAGGAAATTCTGCAACCGTAGGAATTAACTCCCTGATTCTACCTTTACCCAGAACTTGGTAATTTCTCTTCTACTTTGTGTCTCAAAGAAACTGCCTATTCTAGATAGTTTATATAAGTAGAATAATACATTATCTGTCCTTTTGTGTCTGGCTTCTTTCACTCAGAATAATGTTTTCCAGATTCAATCATGTTGTGTCATGTATCAGAACAGCCTTCTGATACATGCCTCTTCATTGTTCATTATCTACATGCCACATTTAGTTTAACCGTTGCTTGATAGAAACTTTGTTTCTACCTTTGTTGACTATTGTAATGATGCTTCATTGAACATCAGTGTAAGATATAAAACTAGAGTATGTGCTCTTAAATATTTTGGATATATACCTGTAAGTATAATTGCTGAGTCATATGGTTTCTGTTTCTTTTTGAGGAGCCAAC